AAAAAAAAAATTATTTAACATAACCCTGATGTACCTTTACAATCACAAGTTCATCAAGTATTTAATTTTTTTTTTTTCACTTGTATAATTAATATGTATTGATCTTTAACCATATAGGTCCAAAGATGTGCCGAGGACATGTCGATCTTGATCACAACATACGAGGGAACACACAACCATCCGCTCCCGATCTCGGCCACCGCCATGGCCTCCACCACCTCGGCGGCCGCCTCCATGCTAACATCTGGACCGTCAAACTCCTCAGTTGGGCCGGGCCCATTATCTTCTGTCTCTGCGTCTGGACACCTAAATGGGCTAAACTTCTACCCGTCTCACGATAACTCAAGATCAAAACCCTTCTACCTACCGAACACCTCGATTTCATCCACCCCTTCCTACCCAACCATAACGCTCGATCTCACTTCAAGCGCCGCCACATCATCGTCCCATTTGACCCGTTTGGCCAATATTCCCTCGAGATACTCGACCACAAACCTCAACTTCAGCGAGTCGAACGCGCTCCCGATATCGTGGACCAATGGGACCCTAAGCTACGGTCCTTACCAAACGATAAACAAGAACCAAACCGCGAGTAATACTAGCTCCCTCAACTTCGGAGCACAACCCTACGAAACCCTTTACCAAACCTACTTACAAAAGACGAATACCACAAACCCTAGCCAACAAAACATGACATCTCCCGAAGCTATTGCGGCCGCCACTAAAGCAATCACATCCGACCCGAGTTTCCAATCGGCTCTTGTAGCCGCTCTTTCATCGATCATCACCTCGAATGGCAATAACGCTAGTGCAATGATGCAAAACCAAAATGAAGGCGAAAAATCGAGTCAAATCAGTGATGCCAAGATTAGTGAGCCTAACTTTCCTATCCTATCGAGCTTCCCATCATCGGCCTCGAACGCAAATAAGTGTGCGCCGAGTTTTATGAACAATTCATCGTCTAATACGAGTACGATTCAACCTGCAGGCGGATTGATGTTCCTTTCGACTCCATTTTCGAATGCAAAGAGCAAGTCAAGTTCACCAAGTGATCATGGTAGGGATCAAGCTGCTTGATTTGATTGCATGGATTGAATTTTTTCCTTGATTACTATGAACTTTATGATTGTTTCTAATACTCATTGTAGATGGTGTGGGGTTTGATGTTATGATGCCAATTGTGCATGGACCATTTTGTTTGTTTGTTTGTTTGTTTTTAACTGGTTTTGGAAAGAATTTGTGCATATATGTATTGTGATTATGCTGGTGAAGATTGAAGAACGTTCACCAGCTTTCTTTTAGACTTATGTTATACTTTGTGCTGCAAATTAAATGTGGATAATTTGTGTACATAATTTGAGAATGCCACCAAATAGGTGGTTGGCCCAACTTGTTCAGTTGTACCCTTCTTATTTCAGTGTTTTTCTTTTTAATTATTATTTATAAATTGAAATATTTGCTATCAAACTTACATCGAATTATTAACAACAAATCTGTAAATTTTAACTGTGTAATATAATAATATTGACAAGCAAATGCCACAGAATAATAAGGCAGCAACAACAAAGAAAACCCAACAAGTTTTGAAATCTCACAAACCACACCACTATTATATCCTATACAATAAAACCCTGCTTTAAAATAAAGATCAAGCACCACACAGAAGTTTATACGGTTTTGCCTAGATCTCGATTCGACCAATCTCTGGCATCTCGGACGCAACCTTAAACGAAAAACACCAAAAGCGTGTAATGCATATAAAAAA